AGTTTCGGAGGATACATTGATGGTACAAGGATGTACTTAGTATAAAACAGGAAATATCTGATACATAACAAATACAGAGGTGTGCTGGTCAACAAAGACACTACAAGTACATCCTGCAGCTGTTGCGAGCCAGGCACTGCCTGCCCATGATACAACATACACTGCCTGCCCATGACACAACATACACCGCCTCTCCCAACATCAACAGACACGAATACGTTAGTTAATGAGTTTTAAATAGGCTAGTAAATGAGGTTCATGTAGGCTAGTTAATGAGGTTTAGGTAGGCTAGTTAATGAGGTTTAGGTAGGCTAGTTAATGAGGTTTACGTAGGCTAGTTAATGAGGTTTAAGTAGGCTAGTTAATGAGTTTTAAATAGGCTAGTTAATGAGGTTTAAGTAGGCTAGTTAATGAGGTTTAGGTAGGCTAGTTAATGAGATTTAAGTAGGCTAGTTAATGAGGCTTAGGTAGGCTAGTTAATGATGCTTAGGTAGGCTAGTTAATGATGTTTAGGTAGGCTAGTTAATGATGTTAAGGAAAGCTATTTAATGAGGTTTAGGTGGGCTAGTTAATGAGGTTTAAGTAGACTAGTTAATGAGGTTTAAGTAGGCTAGTTAATGAGGTTTAAGTAGGCTAGTTAATGAGGTTTACACAGGCTAGCCAATAAGCTTTTAAACAGGCTAGTTAATGAGGTTTGGATAAGTTGGTTAATGAGGTTTAAAGCCTATCTACTACACGAGGGTGATCAAGACTGCATGTCACCTGTTCGCTACCAGTAAAGAATACTTTCAATAACTAAAATAGGGATTAGAGCAAACTCAGTGTATATACACTGAGATATATACACCTCACAATATATATACCCTGCATAAATACTTTCTGTAACATGATATACAGGATCCAAAACATACATTGTTCACTAAGTTGTGGGTACGGCAGTAATAATAATAATAATAATAATAATAATAATAATAATAATAATAATAATAATAATAATAATAATAATAATAATAATACTGGTATATCAACTGATTATTTGCAAACTCAACCCACTCAATGTATATTCACCTTACATTAAACACGGAATATTTAATATACTGTTTCTTTTAGGTATTACAGTATTCTGGACTGGTGGTGTACAGGCGACGTGCAGCCTTACTGACCCTCGTGTGGTAGATAGGTTTTAAACCTAAGTGTGTAGCACACTGTTCTTGGAGAGTGTAGATAGCAGGGAAGTGAGCTTTCATATATCAGTAGTTATAGCAGGGAAGCAGATTTACATCAGTGACAACAGGATAGAAGACTCATGTATCAGCAGTAACAACAAGGTAGGAGATTCATGTATCAGCAGTAACAACAAGGTAGGAGATTCATGTATCAGTAGTAACAACAAGGTAGGAGATTCATGTATCAGCAGTAACAACAAGGTAGAGATTCATGTATCAGCAGTAACAACAAGGTAGGAGATTCATGTATCAGTAGTAACAACAAGGTAGGAGATTCATGTATCAGTAGTAACAACAAGGTAGGAGATTCATGTATCAGTAGTAACAACAAGGTAGGAGATTCATGTATCAGTAGTAACAACAAGGTAGGAGATTCATGTATCAGTAGTAACAACAAGGTAGGAGATTCATGTATCAGTAGTAACAACAAGGTAGGAGATTCATGTATCAGCAGTAACAACAAGGTAGGAGATTCATGTATCAGCAGTAACAACAAGGTAGGAGATTCATGTATCAGTAGTAACAACAAGGTAGGAGATTCATGTATCAGTAGTAACAACAAGGTAGGAGATTCATGTATCAGTAGTAACAACAAGGTAGGAGATTCATGTATCAGTAGTAACAACAAGGTAGGAGATTCATGTATCAGTAGTAACAACAAGGTAGGAGATTCATGTATCAGTAGTAACAACAAGGTAGGAGATTCATGTATCAGTAGTAACAACAAGGTAGGAGATTCATGTATCAGTAGTAACAACAAGGTAGGAGATTCATGTATCAGTAGTAACAACAAGGTAGGAGATTCATGTATCAGTAGTAACAACAAGGTAGGAGATTCATGTATCAGTAGTAACAACAAGGTAGGAGATTCATGTATCAGTAGTAACAACAAGGTAGGAGATTCATGTATCAGTAGTAACAACAAGGTAGGAGATTCATGTATCAGTAGTAACAACAAGGTAGGAGATTCATGTATCAGTAGTAACAACAAGGTAGGAGATTCATGTATCAGTAGTAACAACAAGGTAGGAGATTCATGTATCAGTAGTAACAACAAGGTAGGAGATTCATGCATCAGTAGTAACAACAAGGTAGGAGATTCATGCATCAGTAGTAACAACAAGGTAGGAGATTCGTGTATCAGTAGTAACAACAAGGTAGGAGATTCATGTATCAGCAGTAACAACAAGGTAGGAGATTCATGTATCAGTAGTAACAAGGTAGGAGATTCATGTATCAGTATTAACAAGGTAGGAGATTCATGTATCAGTAGTAACAACAAGGTAGGAGATTCATGTATCAGTAGTAACAACAAGGTAGGAGATTCATGTATCAGTAGTAACAACAAGGTAGGAGATTCATGTATCAGTATTAACAAGGTAGGAGATTCATGTATCAGTAGTAACAACAAGGTAGGAGATTCATGTATCAGTAGTAACAACAAGGTAGGAGATTCATGTATCAGTAGTAACAAGGTAGGAGATTCATGTATCAGTAGTAACAACAAGGTAGGAGATTCATGTATCAGTAGTAACAAGGTAGGAGATTCATGTATCAGTAGTAACAACAAGGTAGAGCCTCGGGTATCAGTAGTAACAACAAGGTAGGAGATTCATGTATCAGTAGTAACAACAAGGTAGGAGATTCATGTATCAGTAGTAACAACAAGGTAGGAGATTCATGTATCAGTAGTAACAACAAGGTAGGAGATTCATGTATCAGTAGTAACAACAAGGTAGGAGATTCATGTATCAGTAGTAACAACAAGGTAGGAGATTCATGTATCAGTAGTAACAACAAGGTAGGAGATTCATGTATCAGTAGTAACAACAAGGTAGAGCCTCAGGTATCAGTAGTAACAACAAGGTAGAGCCTCAGGTATCAGTAGTAACAACAAGGTAGAGCCTCAGGTATCAGTAGTAACAAGGTAGAGCCTCAGGTATCAGTAGTGCTAACCAAGGACAAGGAATTAGGATATAAGCCCGAGTGAAACAGGTCAGTGTGTCCTCGCTCCACACAACAAGACTCCCACCCACCCATGACTGGTCTCTGAGATACCCTCCACCATCACTCACTCTTGCAACACCACCCATAACCATTACCTAATGACCACATCCGGCTAGGCTGCTATATACAAGCGAATACAAATGTGCGCGCGCTGGCACACGCACAGCTGTGGAGGCACTCTCATACGTAGTTTTAAAAGTAGGTATGACAGGGAGCGTAAATCTGGAAAGTGGTAAGTCAATGAGGCAGGGATAGGAGCTATGACTAGACTCCTGCAACAATCCTTTACCCCCTTTAGATAACATCTTTGGGTGGGTCCTGAGAGATGGAGCAGACGCACGGCGTGAATCACAAGACAATCTTTTGTAAGTCTTCCATAGGTGTGGATGATAGCAAATGTAGTCCCAGTATTAAGGAAAGGTGACAGACAGGTAACGTTAAACTGCAGGCCACTAACACTGACATACATTGTAAGGCTATGTAGTAGATCATCAGAAGAGTGTTAGAGCACCCAAAAAGAAGTTGGTGTATAAATAACAACCAGCACGAGTTTAGAGACTTCTATAACTTAGTAAACAAGTGAGGCAGGAGAGAGACGGATAGGTGAAATATATATTTTTGAAGTGTAAGAAGGTTTCTGACACAATATACAAGATACTGGGACAAAACCTGGAGAAGCAGGCGGAAATAACGAGGAACTACAGTAACGAGTGATTTTCCGGGAAGAGATGTAGGAATGGGCGCGTGTGACGAATGGGCGTCCACAAGGATCAGTACTGGGACCAGTACTATTTCTTGCGTATGTGGAGGTAACATTAGAAACAAAGGTATCATTGTTTGCAGATGATGTGAAACTAATTTGGAGAATACAAACAAGTGAGAGCCAAGAAAGACTATAAATGGAACTGAACAGGCTGCAGGTTTGGTCTGACAAGTGGCCATTAAAATTTAACCCCAGCAAATGCAAGGTTTTCAAGATTTGGGGGGAGCAAAGAAGACAGCAAATGCAGTACAGGCTCTGGAAGAGTGCCAAGCCAAGGCTGCAAACCTCACTCAAGGAGGACCCTGAGGTAAGCATTGTGCTGAGCATATCACCTGAAGCGCACGTCAGCTAAATAAATGTTGCAACAAACGCGGCAAGGAGTCATTCATGACACTATATACGCCGTATATTAGGCCCATACTGGAGTATGCAGCACCAGTAAGGAACCCACACCTTATCAAGCATGTCAAGAAACTGAAGAAAGTGCAGAGGTTTGCAACGAGACTGGTCCTGGAGCTAAGGAGTATGAATTATGAGGACAGATTAGGGAACTAATCGTGATAACATTATGGGGTGATATGACAACAATGTACAAAATACTGAGAGGAATTGATAGGGTGTATAGGGACGGATTTCCGAATGGCGGGAAATAGGAACACGACGACTGGAAACTGAAAATAATGACTCGCAGGGACGATAGGAAGTATTTCTTTAGAGTGGAGTGACAGAGGCAGGATCCACATATATAGCTTTAAGAAGAGGTACGATAAGACTCGAAGCCAGGAGTGAACCCAGCAGAGGCCAAGAGCTGTGAATCGATCCCTTCAACCACAAATAGGTGAAAATACACACACACCTGGTTACATGCTATAAACACACATGATCACACAAAACACTAACATTATATATATATATATATATATATTATATATATATATATATATATAATATATATATATATATATATATATATATATATATATAGAAGTTGGTGTGTGACTTACCAAAGAGTATGTTGAGACAATAGTCATGGTGTTATGGTGGGAGGAGCATGGTGGAGGTTGAGGGGGGGAACACCACCATGACACACTACCCACAACCTCCAGATCCGGGTACACCCCTCCACCTCCTCCTCCTCCTCCTCCTACCACACTGCTCACTACACCCTCCTCACAAACCATACACCACTAACACACACACTATTCTAACAATATACTATTCTATGGTATGGTTTACTACAGTATATTTGTCGAAGTTTGATTTTCTTAACCGCTACACTTTTTTTTTTTTTTGACGCTTATCACTTTGATAAATTTACTAGTTATTGCAGTGTATGTAAGTATATTAATAAATAACTTTTTTTTCAATATAAATCACCGAACTTCATTTACATTGAACTTAATTTCTGGCTAAGAACGTAAGTTCTTCAGAAAACACTTCTTGTTCAATAACGTTGTTCAACATGGGCGCTGGCTAGTGTGTGTGTGTGCGTGAGAGATAGTATTAGTAGTTTGAGCGAGTAGTCTTAGTGAGAGAGAGAGAGAGAGGGAGCGAGGCAGGTGATAGCAACTTAACACTACCCCCTCCGCCGCCTGCCGGCTCTCCAGCTCTACTGTCAACTGCTGCCGCCCAGCCAGCCAGCCAACCTCTCAGCCACCCTCCCTCAAATATCTCCATCCTCCCTCCATCACCTCCTCCCTCTGTATTCTTACCCTCCACTGCCGTCAATAGCTAGCCACATCAAGACTGCCACCTTCCCCCTCAACCATCACACACACCACAGCAATACTGCTTAGATAATACTGCCTCTCACTTCACCACTCACCATCACACTACCACCACCACACTAACACCACCACAACACCACACTAACACTACACTAACACCAACACGAGAGATATCTGAATAACCTACCTTGCTAAAATTAAATACAAAAGTTTTAGTCTTGTTGAAAAGGTCATCAACCAAGAGGCTTAGTCTGGAACCAGGTCCCGGAGCCTCTGTAGTAGCCTTCAGATAACCTTTAGGTAACTAGGTACTCAATATGCAACTCTGTAAGCTTACCTAGAAGCCTTCCTAATTACCGCCATAAACCTAGCTAGACAGATTAACTCCACATTTTGTCTTTCACATAGGCCTCCACAAGAATGAACACTACAGCAGGCCTACTGGTTCATGCTAGTCATTTCCAACTCACCAAGGTTCTCGCTCCAATGGGATGTAACGTGTGGACAGACAGGACTACCATGCTGTTGCTATCTTACACAAGTATATAAGAAACAACACTACACACTGGAAGTATATCTTAGTACTAATATATATATATATATATATATATATATATATATATATATATATATATATATATATATATATATATATATATATATATATATATATATATATGGATATGTGTGCACTGAGAGAAATAATAATGTATATACATTTGAGAGGTATATAGGTATTAATGGTATACATATATGTATTAAAGGTATATAAGTATTCTTGGCTGGTGGTGTACAGGTAACATGCAGCCTTAATGGCCCTCCTGTGTCGACCAAACCAATTATCTCATCTTAGTGTCATATCGAGGAGGCTGGTATAGCAGGTGAAGATGAGGTAGATGTAGCAGGTGAAGGTTAGATAGGTAGGTACAGCAGGTGAAAGTACGGTTGGTATAGCAGGTGAAAGTGATGTAGGTATACCAGGAGAAGGTGAGGTAGATATGTAGGTGTGTGTGTGTGTGTGTGTACGTACCAGTTCTCTACAAATTTTTCTGTTCAAAATCATTTACCAGTTCATCCATTGTTCATCGATTGTTAGGAAGTATGGTCAAGTTGAGAGAGCAGGAATACTGAAGGAGTCATGCCTGCAGCATCTGCTGTACACCCCTCGTATTCAGTGAGTCAGTAGTCACACCAGTGATTGACAATCCAAATATTTTTTATGAGATTCAAACTTAGCAACATCTGCATAATTTCTGACATACACTTGACTTCCAAGAAACCATTACCGTAAGTAATGCACTCTGCCGCAGGCCCAGACTTGTGGGTAAAGACCTGGAATAGAAACACTATCATGTGCCTTACCTATTATATCTAGATGGAGTTCGGACACAGAAGACATATCAAGTCATTACAAAACAACAGAAATAAAACGGACTGATGCAGTAAGAAAACTAAGAGGGAACTTTCAATAATCTCTTAATCAGGCGGGCTGTGACACCATCTCTGGAATATAGGCAGCTGTCACCAACAGCCTGTCTAAGCATATATTAACCAAGGCAGTAAATCAACCACATAAAAAAAACAACTAAGGATCGATAACACTGACATCCCACATTATTGAGTTTGAGGAAACAGGACTGCTAAACACGTGGATTGCACAAGAGACCAACTATTACTGCAACATTATGACACAGCTTCTGATGTACTGGAAGTCAAAGAAAATGCTGATGTAGTGTACACACACACTGAAAAAACTTTTAACAAATGTTATTCTTTTTGTTACACACAAAATGCGTGCGAAAAGGATTAGAGAAGTGATCAGATCGATATATAACTTTCTAACAAATAGAATTCAAAGAGAAATAGTGAACAATGTAATATCAGAGGCAAGTGAAAATGTTCTGTTGCCCAAGACACAAAACTCACCCCAATTCTCTTTTCATCCTCATATTTAACAAAGATTGTACCATCGTATCATCATTTGCAGACGATACCAGAATTTCTATGAGTGGTATCCACTTGGACAGATCAAACCTCCAAGCTGATATATATCTGGTCTTCCAGTGGGTCACGGAAAACAATATGATACTCGGCAAAGACAAATTTTAAGTTTCTCCGCCATGAGAAACTAAAACCTAAAATTGAGTATAAAACGAACTCAAATCACTCAACAGAGCGGAAGATTAATGATGACTTGGAAGACTCACATTACCCGGGAGTTAATCCGACTCTCCCTACAACTCTTACAAGACTCGCTCCTGAAGCCCCCTGGGTACAAACATTCCAAAGGATAAACCTATTTCTAAATCCGTACTTCCCGAAGGTCACAAGTCAGGATACTCTTTCCAGTTTTCCTGTCTCAGGTTCGACGTAGTGAAATGAAGTAACAGAACACAGCCAGTGATCCTGAAGTCTCGTGAGAGCTGGAGTTCCATAGGATAAACCCGTTTCTTAAGCTGTGATTTCCGAAGGTCAGAACAAGTCGTCAGCAAAGGTCACTCTTGGGAAGTTTTCCTGCGTCAACTTCGGTACAGCGGAAAGACATTATACAATAACAACTACTGTACAAGATAACCTTCCTTCTTGTGTCAACAATGTAAATATACAAATGCAAGAGAATCTATGAGAGAGAGAGAGAAAGAGAGAGAGAGAGAGAGAGAGAGAGAGAGAGAGAGAGAGAGAGAGAGAGAGAGAGAGAGAGAGAGAGAGAGAGAGATGAAGGAATACAGTCGTTCCTGACCTCTTGATCTCTACCATACCTACTCTTGAAACTATGTATGTTTACCACCCTATGGCTGAAGAAGTACAGTATTTCCTAACATCCCCATGGCTGTCTGTTTTTAGCTCCCACCAATGTATTTCCTGCAGCCTGTCCTTATCTGATCTATCGAAACTTCTAAGTATCCTGTACGTCGTTATCATGTCTCCCCAAGGTCCTTCTCTCCTCCAAGGTTGTCAGATTTATTAATTTCATCTTCTTCTCGTAGAGCAGCATACTTACTAATACTTTAACTTTCTCCTGCTTCTCAATGTGCTTTCACGTTTCTAGAACCAATCTAGGTGTATTTTTTAACGTTCTCTAGCCACTGAAGGCACTTTTAAAGGTGTGGGCTCCATGCTGGTGCCGCGTATTCGAAGCCATGCCTCGCATAAATCAGTGTACAATGTCTAGATTTCCTTAAGTTCCTGAATACAGCTATAAGATTGGCTAGCCTGGTATGATTATTATAATCATATTTAAGTGATAAACCCGTATGGGCCACGCAGCGCTGCTAGCCTGGGATGAGCCGATGACGTTACGTGAATTAGCCGCCTCTGGTGATATGTTCGGTGGTATATTTACTCCCAACTCCCTCCCAGTGAAGTGTCTTGATGCCAATGAGGTGCTCTTGATCCAAAGAAGCGGACCTATTCTCTCCTCCCTCGAATCAAACCTGACTGCCTCATTTCCAATAATAATGATAATAAAATACAATAATAATTATACAGCAATAATAATATCAAAATAATTAAGTTTCTTCCCAGCTTATATATTGATCAGGGCTTTTTTTTCACCGTCTCTGATTTGCTCTATTTTGCACTAATTACCATTATCTTGATTGGATTAAACTCCAGCAGCCACTTACACTGATTCTTGGGGGACCCCGATTGTTAATCTCACCCATAATTATATTTCCTCCTTAACTATCACCGTCTATCCCATATCCATCCATTCGAGTACTTGCACTCCCGCCTACTCTTCCAGTCTCCCGTGGCTCGATCGCTAGGGCACTCATCTCACACACTGAGATCCGAGGTTCGATCTCCTGTACGGCTGGAAAATATTAGGACATGTTTCCTTAGGGCACCTGCCGTTCATGTCCACCTAGCAGTAAAATAGGTACCTGGGTGTTAGTCGACTGGTATGGGCCGCATCCTGGGGACAAAATTAACCTAATTTGCGGGAAATGCTCAGCATAACAAGCGGCTTTCTATACAGTAGTATGTCACTGATGTCAGCTATGGTCTGTATACCTTGTACATGTACTGGTATTAAATAAAGATATTATGTGGCTCAATCTTCACACTTTTGCGGTATCGACTGATTTCCTGTATTCCTGGAACATGCAGTCGACCCATCCTTGTCTTTCTTACATAATTTCCTCTGTTTTATCATAAAATTCCAGCAAGTTTGTAAGCCAGGACTTCCCTGCCTCAGTCCTGATGGTTTTTGCAGTCGAGTTCCTCCCGTGTGTGTTTGTGTGTTGTGTGTTGTGTGTATGTTGTGTGTGTTGTATGTTGTGTGTGTATGTGTGTGCTGTTTTGGATGTTTGTGTGTATGTTGTGTGTGTTGTATGTTGTGTGTGGATGTTGTGTGTTGTCTGTGTGGATTGTTGTATGTTGTTGTATGTTGTGTGTGGATGTTGTGTGTGTGTGTGGATGTTGTGTGTGCTGTGTGGATGTTGTGTTGTATGTTGTGTGTGTTGTATGTTGTGTGTGGATGTTGTGTGTGTGTATGTTGTTGTGTGGATGTTGTGTGTGCTGTGTGGATGTTTGTGTGTATGTTGTGTGTGCTGTATGTTGTGTGTGTGTATGTTGTGTGTGCTGTATGTTGTGTGTGTGTATGTTGTGTGTATGTTGTATGTTGTGTATGTTTGTGTGTGTATGTTGTGTGTGCTGTGTGTTTTTGTTGTGTGTATTGTATGTTGTGTGTATGTTGTGTGTGTGTGCTGTATGTTTGTGTGTGCTGTATGTTGTGTGTGCTGTATGTTGTGTGTATGTTGTGTGTGTGCTGTATGTTGTGTGTGTATGTTGTGTGTGCTGTGTGGATGTGTTGTTGTTGTGGTGTTAGTGTTGTGTGTGTGTATGTTGTGTGTGCTTGTGTGTGATGTTGTGTGTGCTGTATGTTTGTGTGTGTGTA